CTGCTATAAAGTGATGCAATATACAGTCTATAAATAGAATGAGAATTGGAAAGAGAGGGTTATGAGTTATATACAGGAAGTTCTAAATAATGCATCATTTTTCCTTAGGGGCCGTTGAACGTCCTTTAGACCTTCACATTCACCCACCTTCTCCTGTTCTCCTTCTCAACACTGACTGAAAATAGGTCAGAGTTCGAATCAGCCTGTTTACTTAGTGAATAATAAGAGTATGTTAAGACAATGTCAAATGGGTTTAGAAATTATCGGCTAAGATGTCGGAGGGCATATTTATAAGCGGGCTATTAGGAAATAAGTGACATTTGAAAAGAAAAAGGGAATTTGCAAAGAGAATCCTCTGGGGACGTAAGAATGCCGTCCAAATAAGAGACAAGTGAAGAAGTCCGCTGTTCCTGCAGCCAGAATTACAAGAGTTGCTGTTTCTTTGACACCCTGCTCTCCCGCGGGGTCATGGGTTTTTACCAGCCCATGGTTTCTAGTGAAAACATGGAATGCTCCAGGTCCGAGGGCTCAGTTCAGTGCCAGGCATGGACGGGTACTTCCACGGTTTTCCTGTGGGAAGGCCTCCACCAAGCCTCCGCCTCTGGCCTGCAGGGGCCAAACTACAGGGAGAAGTTTGTGGTCAGCCACCAAGAGGCAGTTAGTTGTTTTAGCGATGCACCGCGACGTAGTAACTGCAACTCAGGCTGTATTCGAGCGCTTGAGGTGTGTGCCAGGGACACAGAAAGTGGAGCTCGGAGAATGGGGGGAACCGTCACAGGGAGGGCCGAAAGCTGCTGCTAGGAAATGTTTGCTTTTGCTTTTGCATTACCTGGCAGTCGGGTTGTCTTTCGTTAGAGCCGGAGGAGCAGAGTCCTGGGCCCCGACTTAGGACCAGAGAGAAACTGCAAAATGCAATACATTTGGTGTGAGCTGGTGGGCGTTAGCTAAACTTGCTGTGCTAATCATTTCACGGTGTGTGTAAGTCAAGTCCTTAGGCTCTGCCCTTTGAACTTACCATCAGGGCTGTGTGTCCGTTGTATCTCAGTAACACTGGAAAGGACAGGCTTTGGAAAATGGGATACATTTGGAAGTTTTAGCATAATCAGACATTTGGGGATGCCAGAGAGCAACGGAAGCCTGTGATAGACAAAAAATCAGAATGTGGGTTTAGATCCCAGAGGAGAAGAGCCTGCCGACCATGGATTTCTGCCCACCTTTCTCCGCGCGTTTTCCCTGCAGTTGCTATGACATCTTATCAGCTGCTGTCCCTCAGATTTTAACCACGTTTGTGCTGTGCCGTTCAGCTCTGAAAACAAGGCTCCCTCCAGAATCACGTCTGCTCAACAGGCTACCGGTAGTGACAGTGTATGTGGTAACACTCTGAGCTTGACAATGCCCAGAATTAGGTGAAGAGAGTATACTGGGTATTGGAAATGTGAGTCAAAGAATTTGTAAAATTGGAGCCAGATGGGGAAGCTTGGGGGGAAAAGGTAGCTTTTGGCCAAAGGAAATCATGAGGTAGGGAAGGAATAATTGTGTGGAGGCCCTACTGTCACTGGTGAGGGAGGTGGCTCTCCAAATCAGGCTTTATCGTGTCCTCCGGCCCTTCCCCCAGCTTCCAGGGCTACTGGGGTGAGCAGGACTTAAATCTGAATTTCCCTGGCTCTCTGAGCTAGACATGTTGTTTGTTCATATGCCTTCCTCCCCACCTACCTGGTCAACACACACTGCAGATGCGTGGTGAGAGGGGGGGATGGATCTGCTCTCTTTTCACAGAAACACTGAGCTTCCTTTTCAGGCCTTTGAGGTGCTGAAAAGGCTGTCATTTTGAGTGTGACAAGAACAGTTAATGTGCACCACATCACTTCAGCATCCCTGTGAAAGCCTGCCTCCAGCCCCGCCTCCTCTGCCCGCTGCCCAGACTCCTCCCAGGATGCTTCCTCTCCCTGGCAGCCTCCCGGCGGCGCACACAGTGCTGAGCTCTTTAAATAGCACTGTCCGCAATCTGCTCCTGCATCAGATTCGGTGGTGTCTATGTCGCTCTTATTTAGAGCTCCTGGAGACGGAGCCTTGCCTTTTTTTCCCTTTCTTTTCTTTTTATCTCCTTTTCTGGAGTACCCTTCCATAGTGCCTGGCAGTAGATTTGAGGCTGGCCTGTCCGAGACCCAGTCCAGGCTTATGAAATATATTGTTTCATTCCAAGAGATCGCATACTCTCTTTTTCAGAGGTGTCAGTTTATCACAGTTCCTATATCATATAATTATGTTATCTGTTGGAGTCTGCCTGCTCCTAATAAACAATGGCCCATTGTCTTTATTGCCCTTAGTACTCGTAACTTCTCAATAAGTGACTCTTGTGTTAATACATAGCTGTTAATGCTGCCTGTTTCTTAAACAGTATTTAAAGGAATATAGGTTATTTGTAGTGGAAGAAAAGGCTACCAGGAAGAAGAGGCCAAGGGGAAAAAAAGAAGATTTGGAGACCTTATCACCGTAAGGTCTTCATACAGTTAAATATTTATTAAACAGTATGAAAGCATAGACAATATTTTATCTGGATCACTATTTTTTCATACCTTCTAATAATGTTGTGGTTACATTTTTTTCATATGCATACATATTCATGACTTATATTTATTTCATAAAACCTTCTGGGCTGATTGATTGTTAATGTTTGATTTGAAATTAGGACTTGAGATATACCACCACAATTATAAATTTATTAGGTTGGTGCTTTAGTTTTCATTGCTCAAGTGATAATTTATTATGCTTTCCAAAATGTTTTTCAAAGTAAGAATGAATTATATAACTGGGCCTTTTTTTTTTTAGAAACTGAAATTAAAGACTTATGTCTTTAATTTTCCGCAGCTTGTGCAATTGGGATATTTTCTAGATACTTAAGGAGCAAGAGGCACATAATTACTGGTTTCTAATACCTGCGGCTCCAGCTGTTCTCACATGTGCACTAGGAGTTTGTTCACTCGCTAAGCATGTATGTGACAGCCTTCTGCGTGCCAGATATACAAGCTTTTGTGATGTCACCTGTGTGTGTAAGAGGGGACCGGTGGAGGAGGTGGGGTTGATTCCCACCTGCCTGTAGGTGCCTTCAGGACAGATATATAGCCCAGGTGTTTGTGTCTCCAGATCAGCACAGTGGCTGACGGATAGTGAGGAAGGGATTATCATGCAGTTGAATAGAAGGCTTCGGGTGCAGAGACACTGGAGGCAGCATGCCAGGGACTGAGAGCCAGGGACAGTCGGTTACAGTGTCTCTCATCCATGTAACATATCCGCAGTGAGGAGGGGTAGTACCCCAAGGAGGAGGGGTTCCTGAGTGTGGGGTGGAACTTGGGAAAGACTTTTTGGACCATGGGCTGTCCAGGAAGAACTGTGAATGGGAGTTTCTCAAATACACACGATGGAGGGAGAGGCGTTCTTTCCCAGCATATGTCAGGCCACTCAGACACAGAAGAGCTTTATCTTTGGACTGTGGATTTTTTTTCTATACCATAAAGTGTGAGACACTTAATGGCAAGAGACAAGGCTGCAAAAGGCAGGTTAGATCATAAAGACAGGGCCCACGTGCCACGCAAAGACGTGCCTTCATGGCCTCAGTGGTGGAGACCGCTCTCGTTAGGTTCATGACGTTCCCCCACCACGTTCTCTCACTCCTGCTCACCCACCTCATAAATCAGGGTGTTTCCCGTAACTTTGGCTGCCATGCCCCACATCAGGGCAGTCGCCAGCTACCGTCCTGTCTACTACTTAAATTTCTGACAGATCTATTCACGTCTCTGTGCTCAGGGCTGTGAGCCTAGTTTATATTCAGTTGTTACAATAGTGTCCTCTGTGGTCCCCAGCTCCAGTCGTGCCACACTCTAGCCAGAGAGAAACGTCTCAATGCACACCTGGTCGTGTTAGGCTACCCACGATGATCTGTGGCCTCCTGTTGCCTTTGGGTGAAGTTCACTCCTTGACCTGACCTTCAGCTCAGTCTCCAGCTCCTCCAGGCTCTCTGTCAGCTCCCGCCCCGTCATCCCCAGCCCCGCCTCCTGCCCTGTAAGAGCCTTCTCCTCACCCTGCCACTCCCCCAGCCCTGCCCTCTGGGTTGTTGCTTACAGAGACTGTTTTCTGACTTCTCAAATCTGGATTCAGAGCCCCCATTGTGTGGGCCTGCAACACTCAGTATTTGCCTGAGTAGGACAAGCATGAAGCAGCATTTTCATCCCCTGCTTAACCATCTCCTTGCTATGAGAGACTGTGAGTTCTGTGATGGTGGAAGCCAAGTGTAGCTTGTTTACCATTTTATTCCTGGAAGCTGGCACAGTGCCTGACAGGCAGTCGGTGTGTACTGAATTAGATCTATGAATATCTAAAGTACCTACTTCCACGCCCTGCACGTAGAAGAGGATCAATGAATGATGGTAGATTTTACTGGCCACTGTCATACACAACAGCTGAAACTTTTATTCTACATAAGTAGTAATTTCACAGGTACAAGTAGGTCATGATCAGAACTGAAACGTGGCCATGAGAAGCGACAAGCTAGAAAGTGATGGCTGATCTTCGCTGATAAACATTGAGACCTGGTGAGAGCAGAAGCCACTGTGCATTGGTTTGAAGAGTAACACTGTCAAGAGGTGGAGACCAAGCAGAGAAGAATTTGTGGAAAAGGTTAACTGAGAAGGAAAACGCTAGAGAGGGCAGTAATCCGGGAGGCAGCAAGGTCGGAGGAAAATATTTTTAGATGATGAAAGAATACTGGACCTGTTCACGGGCTGAGGACAAGAGTCCTGCCTGAAGGCAGGTACAGAAACAGGTGTGGAGCTGGATGAGGCTTGTGAGTAAAAGCCCCGGACTGGCACCTGAGGGAGGAAGACACCTCACTTCACGATAAAGAAAAGAGGGTGTTGAGGCTGTAGGACCGTGTGCAGGGGTCTAATACTCGTACGTTCAGTTCTGCTGCACAAACTTACTGCCATCTTTCTTTTTACCCTTAGCTGTTCGGGGGACTCGTCTGGATTTTGGTTGCCTCCTCCAACGTTCCTCTACCTCTGCTCCAAGGATGGGTCATGTTCGTGTCTGTGACAGCTTTTACCCTTTCCCTCCTCTTCCTGGGGGTGTTCCTCTCTGGCATGGTGACTCAGATCGATGCCAACTGGAACTTCTTGGTAAGAAATTTTTTTAAGTCTTCTGCAGGAAAATGTGGGAAACTTATAAATATGTCATTCTGTCCTGAAATGCCCGAGCTTCATTCTGTCTGTCACTTCTGCCGGGAGAGATGAGGTCAGACCACAGCGTCCGCTGTTGCTGCCTTGCTGGACAGCAGAGTCCCAGTTTGTGCGATTCCTGTGTTGACAGAGCTGAGCAATCTTTCTGATACTCCTTTATGAGCTGGGTGACCTTTACTCAAAGACTGTCTTAGTTCATACAACCAACGAATTGCATTATAGTTATTGAACTATTGAACAGATGCCTTTGATTGATGGATGGATCCTGTGACATCCAGGGTCTGTCCAGAAGGTGTCCAGCCATGTAATATGAAAAATAGTGATATTTCTTGAAAAAGATACAAGAAACATTGTACCTAGGACAATGACACCTCATTCTCCTTCAAAGTAGGTAGCTTGGGACCCCACATGGTTCTCCCAGTTGCCATCAACTGCTCTGTCATATCTGCCTGAATCTCATGGATGGTCTGAAATCTCTTTCTTTTCAAAGGTGATTTTAGTTTTGGGAAAAGCCAGAAGTCACAGGGCACCAAACCTGGACCATAGTGGGGTTGAGTGCCTGATGTTTCACCAAAAAACTCCACGTGATACATGAGCAGGTGCATTGTCATGATGAAGCTGCCAATCACCAGTAGCTGCGGCCTCTGACTCATCCAAATAGTTTCTGTGGAGGAATGTTCAAGCTTAATGCAAAATTTGATGCAGATTCATTGCTCTACTCACTTAGTCATTTTGAATGTGATGGCCACACAGTGCACATGCTCATTCAACAGCATCTACTGCCCCACTGACCAGTGCAGTGAAGTTGTCATAGTTCACACATGCGCATTCCAGTCCACTCTCCTTGGCTGCCAGGTTACATCGATGTCGTGCAAACCATTCTCATTATGTTAACAACAGCTGGGCTTTTTCTGGATAGATGTTGTATATCTTGATACTTTCCACTGATTTCTGTTTCTGATATTAAATACATATATTCTTTTCAGAAAACAGATGGCTATATAGTCTACTCCCCAAATATTTAGAAAAGAAAAAAGATGTTTTATATTTACAGGCACACCTTGGAGAGATTGTGGGTTCGGTTCCAGATGACCACAATACAGTGAATATCACAGTAAAGCAGGTCATGTACAAGTTTTTGGTTTCCCAGTGCACATAAAAGTTATGTTTACCCTCTACTGTAGTCTATTAAGTGTGCAATAGCATTAAGTCTAAGAAGAAAATGTACATATCCTAATTTAAAAATGCTTTATTGCTAAAAAATGCTAGGGTTTTTAATTGGCCTTAATTTGCACATTGTGGTGTCTCAGGGAGAAGGGGGGCAGGAGGGTAGGAAGAGAGTCGGAAACGGCCGGGCCGAGCGCATGACAGTTATTCCGCGTGCCATCTTATATGGCTGCAGTTTAAGACACCCTGAAACTTTTACAACAGTAGCATCAAGAAGCACTGATCACAGGTCACCATAGCAAATATAATAATGATGGAAATGTTTGAACTATCGTGAGAATTACTGCAATGTGAGAGGGAGAGGAAAAGTCAGCCAATGCTGTTGGAAAACGGCGCCAAAATGCTCGATCAACCCAGGGCTGCCACCGTCTTCAATTTGTAAGGCACACAATCTCCTGGAAGCACACTAAAGCAAAAGCACAGTAAAATGAGGCATCACCTGCGTTTTCAATTGCTAAATGATCAAGAATTGGCAAGTTCTAAGAAATGAATTTGCAACCAGTGCAATTCTTAAAATGATGACGCCGTTCAGTTGTATCAAGTTATTTCCCTTTTCCCATGTAACAGGCTGTGATTGTTCATTCTCTGGGCCTGTCTCAGAATGGCCCTGTGGAGCGTGAGTTCCAATCCATGGTGCACAGTGCTCTAACCAAGTTCATGACCAACGCCCCTTTGGTTTCAACCACACATTGGTGTTCAGAAATTTAAGTCGGGCCTCAAGTATGGTAGCATTTTACTCAGCAACCTCAGAACAGCTATTAGAGGAATGTTATTCCTTTGTGTCTTATTGATAGAGCACGAGGAGGACTGTCTTCCCAAATGTTTTCAGCAGTCACGCCTGGTGAATGTGGCTGCCTGCATGAGTCCAGCCAGGGGCAAATGGGGGGTATAAAGCTAAGGGGTGGGGGGCGGTGCAGAGATTGCCGTGCAGACTTCAAGGTTAGGTCTGCTTTGCTTGATAAGGCAAAATAGTGAACCTCTATACATTTCTGTTTCTTCCTCTGTAAAATGATAATAATTGTACCTACCTTGCCAGATGCTGTTAAGGAATAATGAAGTTAATATATTATAAAGTGCTCAGCTTTGTGTCTGATTCATAGGCAGTTATCAGTAATCACCATCATTCCTTAGACATGCCGAGGCTGGCGGTAGGAATCTTTGAAAGTCCTTCAGTGTGTTAGGTTGCCGATACAGTCTGCTCTTACCTTTTTGTCATGATTTCTCATTAATGATGACAAAATAGTTGCAGTAATTGGTCAAGTAAAGAAAATCGAAGATCTGTATTTAAGTTACAGATAGCCTAATCTCTGCTTTCTAAATGCCTGGCTTTCCCATAATATATATGAATGAATCAGTCAGTCCCTAATATTGATAAGCACCATCAGACTATTTTAGTATCAGGCTCAAATATGGTACTTGACAGGATGTACCAGTATAGCCCTGCTGGTGCTTTGGTGCTAGTTAATATACAGTCACTGCCCCAGCCTATGCCTCCTCCCAAGGGCTGTGGCCTCCATCACCCTGGCCCTTCCTCTGGGGCCTTCCTGGATCTCCTCATAGCCCAGCAACTGAACAGTTAATGGTAGAGAAGTAGCGAGTCTCCAGGATCCTTCAGGGCCCAGCCTTCTTTCTAAATGTCTGAAGCACATTCCTCATTGATATTTGAATATTTTTCCAATACTTCTGGTTTCATTAGACATATGTCCCTACTGTTTTTTTTCCTTTTTGTTCATATTGAGTCTTACTATTGGTATTGAGAACAGTCATTCATATTCTTTTTGATTCATTAGGTTTCCCATGAAATTAGAAAAACCTACCAATCTGTTCCATAAGTCACCTGCAAAGTTCATCCTGTGAGTTTGTTTTCCTTTTTAGCTGGAATACTCCACTCTGACAGAGAGGAAAATGGGAATGGCAACACACAACCCAGTGCTTGTCACCTCACAGGTTCATGATATGGGAGGCATACTTATTTTTTCTTTCTTGTTTTTATTATTGTTTAAGCTGTTACCTAGTTGTTCCCACTTTTCTGCCTTTCCCCCTCCCCAATTTCACCCTCTCCTCACTCCAAGTCAACCCCACATTGCTGTCCGTGTGCAGGGGTTGTGCATAAATGTTCTCTGGTTAATCCCTTCACCATCTTTCATCTCATCACCCCCTCCTTTCCCTCAGCTATCAATTTGTCCTGTGTATCTAAGCTTCTGTCATTACCTTGTTCCTTAGTTTATTGTGGTCATCACATTCCACACTGACTGGCCTACTTCACTTATCATAGTTTTCTCCAGGTCCATCAATATTGTTGCAAAGTGTAAGAGGTTCTTCATTTTTATAGCTGTGTAGTATTTCATTCTATAATTGTACCACAGCTTTTTTATCCACTTATCCACTGATGAGCGCTTAAACTGCTGCCAAATCTTGGCTATTGTAAATAGCGCTGCTATAATCATAGGGATGCATATATTTTTTGTATTGGTGTTTCAAGATCCTTGGAGTATATTTCTAGAGGTGGAAGGACAAAAGGGAGTACCATTTTTAATTTTTTAAGGATACTCCACATTGTTTTCCACAATGGCTGCACCAATCTGCATTCCCACCAGCAATGGGCCAGGGAGGGTTCTCTTTTCTCCACATCCTGGTCAGTGCTTGTTGTCTGTTTATTTACTGGTGGTAGCAATTATGAAAGGTATAAGATGATATCTCATTAAGGTTTTAATTTGCATTTCTCTGATGATGAATGATGTTGAACATTTTTTCACATGTCTCTGAGCCCTCTGTATGTCCTCTTTGGAGAAGTGTCTATTCGGGTCTTTTGCCCATTTCTGAATTGGATTTGTTTGTCTCCCTGTTGTTGAGTTGTATTAGTTCTTAGTGTATTTTAGAGATTAAGCCCTTGTCAGATGTATCATTGGCGAAATGTTCTCCCATGTAGTGGGTTCCCTATTCATCTTGCTGATGGTTTCTTTAGCTGTACGAAAGCTTTTAAATTTGCTGTAGTCCCATTTGTTTATTTTCTGCTTTGTTTCCAGTGCCTCAGAAAATCATCAAAAACATTTCTGTATTGAATATTTGCGATTTTACTCCCTATGTTTTCTTCCAGGATTTTTATGATCCGTGACTTACATGTAAGTCTTTTATCCATTTTGAGTTTATTTTTGTGTATGTTGTAAGTTGGTGATCTATTTTTTTCTTGCTTTCTTTCTTCCCCTCCCTCCCTTCCTTCCTTCCTTCCTTCCATTTTCCCAACACCATTTATTGGAGAGTGTCTTTGCTTCATTGTATGCTCTTGCCACCTTTGTCAGATATCAATTGCTCATATAGGCATGGTTTATTTCTTGGGCTTCCTGTTCTGTTCCATTGATGGATAGGCATACTTTCTAAGAGCCAACTCTTTTAAGGAGTTTGCTTAAGTGCTTGCCATGTTTGGAAATGGCTCCTTTCTTCTTGTCTTTGAGATTTTCTCCATACTCCACATTTTTGACCACCTGGTTGCTTTCAATAGGTTCTGTAATGTATCTCATGTACTCGCAGCTGGAAAAAAATTTGAGCCATGTGTATCATAGTGTTGTCACCAGATGGTGACAGTTCTGAATTGCTACATTCTGAAATTGTTAGATTTAATTGTTGAAAAAATAATTGTTTCCCCCTGCAGTAATGGTTTAATGTTGCCTGTATACTATTCATGAAGGAAACAAGAGTGCATTTTGATAAAGAATTAATCTTCTAGAAGTACTTATAATGGATATTAACTACAATATTTCTAGGTTCTGGCTTTCACTGATTGTGATATTAAATTAAGATGCTTGGTAAATGATATTTGTATGTTTTCCCAAGATTTCTAGTGTTGGTAGAAATGGTGAAATAAAAATATAATATGTAATTTAAAGAACTGGACTCTGGAACCAAAGAGACCTATGTGGGCTTGAGTTCTCCCTTCCAAAGTTCATCTTTGTTTGGCGTTGAGACACTCAACTAAAAAAATTGCAAAGAAGAAATTTCTTGTTTGTAAAATGGGGATAATAAATGGTGGTTGTAAGGATGAATGATAATGAATGTGAAGTACCTAGTATATGGGAACTGTTTTAAAAAAGTTCAAATCAGTGTGTTGATGATATATTAATTTAGGTAAGATAATGTGAATTTTAGTAGAGTTATGCTTTACGTTAATACTAGCAAGATATGAAATAATCTAACAGTTGAGTTCCATATGAACATTTCCTATAATTTTTGTAGAAATACGTAAATTTATTATTTGTTTTTTAGAATGTTTGGGGATATGTTATTGAATTCTATGACTTTATAGGTCTTCTGTATCTTTCAGTGCATGGTGTGAGAATCTAATGGATAAAAATAATGATTGCTAAAAAATGAAATAAGTATAAAATATGTGTGTATATTATTACATAACTATATAAGATGCTACAGTAATATAGCTATTGTATAATAGCTATAATAGAAGTATATAGTTTAAATTCTATTTTACTTTAAGGACAGCATATGTCATTCCTTCTTATATTCTGTTCATTAGTAATGATCTTGATGGCACCTTAATGTAAATTAAATTCTATACTTCATTATAAGACTCAGTAGACAGAAGGTTTGCTACCACATCAATTACATTGGGCCAGTCAATTTTCATTTGGATTCTAATAGCTTGGCATTGCTAAAACACCCAGAAGAAATGGCTAATGTAGCTCAAGTTTGATGAAATGTTCTTATCTTCCAGAACTTCAACTTCGTCATTTGAAATATGGAAACAGAAAAAGTATGTGTTATTAGTTTTCATTGTAAACATCCGTCTTTCCCTCCACTTTCAGGATTTTGCGTACCATTTCACAGTGTTCGTATTCTACTTCGGAGCCTTTCTGCTGGAAGCAGCAGCCACATCCCTGCATGATCTGCACTGCAACACAACCCTGGCGGTGCAGCCGCTCTTGAGCGACAACCAGTACAACATAAATGTTGCTGCTACGGTGAGTGTTTGACGCTGATGCTGCACCAGCACTCCCCTTCCACTGTCAAGGTCTCCAAGTACTTCCTGAGGCCACAGTAGTTTTCTGTAGTAATAGCTGTCAGCATTAAACATATAGTAGCTACATGTCTGTACAGTAACCTTATGAGCAAAGTCCTGTCACTGCCCCTGATGTTGTGGATGGCGACACTGAAGCACAGATGGCATTCATGTAAGATTATAGCACTCCATGGCAGTTGTTGGCCTTCCACAACAAAGTCTACTTTGTAAGAAGAATTAATTGTGCCTTTTACTTCTTGTAACTTCAGACTCGGTAAGGGAGATGTGTTCTTCAATCCCTACTTGTAATTCATTTGGGTTCAGTGAATATTTACTGAGAGCCTACCAGGAGGCAGGTAATTTGCTGGGTGCCAGGACAGGGATGAATGAGGTACAGTTCTTGCCATGGAGGGAAGTCCATGGTCGTGGGACGGTAACCAGGCCATTACAATAGATGGTATAGGGATGAAATGCCTTCCGTGGGGGAATTTTTGAATTTTTTTCTTTCTTTACTCATAGACCTAAGTGAGTTTATTATTTTTGTATTGACATAGCCAATTTGAATGAATGATATAGTATTTCTGTTCTTATAGAAGGTGTCAGACATCTAAATTATTCCCTGAAATCTCTTCATATTGAGTATGACTGAAGAGCAAGTTGTTGATTCTGATGGTTTTACACAGATAGCATATAAATATCCAGGACTTACCTGGAGGCATTAAAATATATCTGGACTAATGCTGTCTAGTAGAACTTTCTAAATTAGAAATGTTCTATAGATTCACTGTCTGATATGGTTGCTACTCATGAGTTTATTTATTTATTTTGATTAGTTTAAGTCTAAGCAGCCATGTGTGGTCAGTAGCTGTTCTACTGGACAGCACAGGTCTGGAGTCCAGGTCCTGAAGGGTAGAGGACTGATGATTCCAAGACCTACTGCTGTTAAATTTCACAAGCCTCTGTTAAGACTGTCAGAATCCACTCGTGGTCTACAATGAGTTGGACTGAAGGTGAGATTACAATGGAAAGGAGGCGTATTTCTAGCTTTGAAAGGCTGACAGATCAGTGAGCCTTTCTTTTATGAGAAATGTAACTGTCGTGCTTAAAGAAATCTTACTTAAAACCCAGGAAGTGTGGACAGAAAAAGCATTCATGTCCTAGTGGGAGGGGGGAAAAAGGGTCTTGAACGATACCCAGCCTTCCTCCCTAGAAAGCCACCTCTAACCACCTCATCGCCTCTGAGGTGCTTTCATGGAATCCTTGCAATTCAAAGATCACAGTTAGGAAGCCACTGGTTTTAACAGTTTTACAAAGTGAAGTTCAGGGACTTAAGAATTGACTTTTTTCCCATTGAGTGTCCTTTGTATTCATCATCCATTCCCAAAAGGATTTTTGCTACTTTCATCCCCTCCTTTCCAAAGGTGCAGGCTAGATCCCCATGACAACTCTCGGATCCATGAAGTAGCCCCATGCTGATTGATTTATAGTTACCCTAAGATCCTACTTTCATAAGAATAATAGGTGCTCAAGTACTTCACTGGTAGAGGTCATTGATTTTTCACTAATATGTCCTCTCCCTGAGAGCTCAGTTTGCAGTGTTTTCCATGGGGCAATCCTGTTCTGGCTGCCCCTTCTCTGTGACTTTGTCCTTGTCCTCCCCTTTCTCGGTCTGCCTAAGTGAAGTCGCCTTAGTAAACCTCTACATGCTTCAAGTTCTACATTAAGTCTCATTTCACCCAAATACTCCAGTGGAATGTTTCTGCGTTTTAATAACATTTAAATGTATGAGCTATTAATTTGTGACATCATATTGAATCCCTCTGTTTTGAGAGGAAAATTCCTTTTCACTAATAATAGATATCAAAGGTGGTCACTCTCACAGAGCAATATCTATATTGGAGGTGGATCAGAGAGGCAACCAGAAGAGGAAGGGTGGGGAGAGTAGCAGAAGGGTAATTATACTGGAAAAGTGTTCTTTAGGTTAATCTGATATTCCTTCTCAGAGCTGAAGTTTTCTAGTAAAAGACCCCTGCACTTAATAATTCTTTGTCATATTTAATTGCTTTGTCTCATAGTTTGTATAGACCATAAACCACCATATTGGCAGGACAGTATCTACTGTGCATTTATATACACCAAATGTCCTTACTGGTGCTAAAGAAATCCTCGTTGAATACTAAGGACAGTAATTCACAGCTGAGTGCAGACTTGAGGACTGTCTCCCCTGTCAACCTGGTGACTCATTTCTATAGGTTTTCTTGGATCACAGAAACTATCAGCTCCCTCTCCAAGTCCTAATAATTGCATTTTCCTTGGCTGTGAGATCAACGTGTGAATAGACATCTCATAATGAGCTTTTGAATACCATTGGGGGTGTCACAAATATTTAACAGTAAGTACAGTATGTGAACAAATGCTCAACCCAAAGCTATCTACACATGAGCAAATCATTAGGGGCTAGAAACTTTAAAAGAAGGCTTAGTGATTCAAGGGGATAAAACAGTGGTACAAATCACCAAAAAAGAGAGATGAATATGAACATTTTCATAAGGATTGAAGTATCTTTAGGTAGGTTGGTCAGTCTTCACATGATTGTTTGCAAGAACAAGTATTTTCTTAAAATCAGTGTTGTAAATCTGATGAGAATCTGTGTTTCTTTTTCCATAGATTTTTGCCTTTGTGACGACAGCTTGTTATGGGTGCAGTTTGGGTCTGGCTTTACGAAGATGGCGACCGTAACACTCCTTAAACACTAACTGTCCATGGGTCAGTTTCATGTGTCTAGTTCGTATGTCTCATCAATTTGGGTACCATTTTATCCAAATGTAACACCATTCCCAAAGCAATTTGTTTAGTATATAGAGATAATCTAAGTCCAGTTTTGGTTTATTTCAAGGATAGAATTTTAATGTTATTATGCTCTTAAACAGAGGAATGGCCCTTAATTTTACATCACTATCTTTTCTTCTTTTTATTTCTTTTTTTAAAGAAATTTTTCTTTTATAGCCATAAAATACACAGATTTTTTTATGAAAAGGGATATCTTTTTTGTTTAGTTGCTAAGTCATGTGAGGCTTAATTTTAGTGGGTAACTAAAACTCCCTAAAATGAAACACATTTCAAATAGGTCTCATGCTGAACTCTATTTTTTAGTTTAGTAAACAGAGATTGGCATCTTTTTTCTATAAAGGCCCAAAGGGTAAATATTTTAGACTTTGTGGGCTACCTAGTCTCTGTCACAACTACTAACCTCTGCTGTTACTACGTGAAAGCAGCCATAGATAATATGTAAATGAATGAGTGTGGCTGTGTTCCAATAAAACTTTATTTATAAAAGCAGGCAACAGGCTAGATTTGGCCTGTGGACTACTAGCTATTGTTGGCCGACTTCTGGTGTAAAACCTTAGTTATGCATCTGTTTATTATTGTACTGAACCAGAAAGGTATAAAGCTAATTAGACAAGGCACATCATATTTAGTCTCCTTATGCAATAACCACATTATCTTTGTGCTGCTGGTCAAATGCTTACCCTTGAAGGGGCGTACACTTTCTCCAGCTAATTCAAGCAGCGTCTTGAGTATAGGAAAAAGTAATTGATGGCATGACCCGAGTTGCTTAATCAGACTTGGGGTCTCCAAACACCTGAGCAGAACTCTCCTCTGGCGTCCTCACGATGAGCTCTCCAGAGACCATCAGCCACTACTGGAAGTGGCGTCCAGCTCCTTGTGTCTTGCTTTGGATTTATTTATGCTTCAGAATACAGCTCTTTGCCTGGTGCATGAATATATGAATATTTTTATGTGGATATGTGAGGCTTTACCAAACAGAGCTCTCCGAAGAGTTAACTTTTTACTTCTAATTATTTTACATCACTTTCTGAGTTAAATTTGAATAGATTATTAAATGTAACTTAACACTGTAGAGTCTTACATGTTTTATAATAGCCCTGAGATCTATGTCATTTCTGCATTAGAGACAGATACACAAAGTCAGTTTTAAAAGAACAGCCATCACAAAAACTCTGCATGGCTGAATAGCACAGGAAAGTATTTTAACCCCATAGAGAGACCGTGGTTGTGGAAAGGTGCCAAAACGGCTTGCGTGGGAGAAGTCAGTCCTGGCTCCCACCGCACTGTTCAAACAAGGTCCTCATCTCTTGCCCTGGCAGGGCTGCCTCTGAGAAAAGAGGGCTTCTGACTGAGTCTGGTTGTGATGTCATTATAGTCACAGAAGACGTGGTTCAGTGTGAGGCCAGGGGTTGTCAGTCTTAGGACAGCATACTCATGTTGTATCCTTTCTATAATATCCTCCTTCCTGGGTTTTTCTAGCTCTACACCACCTACTTAAACCGGTATTATGAATTGTATATTACTAAGTCATAAATGTGCCATATGGATATATAGTCCATTCGAGTTGAAATTGTTTAAAGTTAGTCTACTAGGTTTAGTTGTGAGATTTTATTTTTGTTTCCAAGGTATAAGAGGTCCGTGCTTGGTGGCATTGCATTAAATAATCTCCAGGAACTGCTTTGATGGCACTTTTGTAAACAGATGGCTTCTCGATCATTCAAAACCATGCCTAAAACTCATCTAACTGTGAAGACTCGGATTGGTAGACTGATCATGTTCTAGGTTCGTGAGTTGAGTGACAAAGCACTTAACAAAAATTATGGCATTCGAGAATTTTTTATATATCTTAGCTATAAAATGAGAAAGTGTTGGTTGGTTTTAAAATCTGGTAACTCCATGATGAAAAGAAATTTACTTCATAAGTGTTATGACTCTAATAAAGTATTCATTTGGTAATCTTTTGGGTCATCTGTTTTTTTATTCAATTCACTTTGAAATTCAGCTAAAGGTTTTTAAACTTGACAGATTTGAAACTTCTAGTCTCATAATATATAAAAGGGGTCTGCTTTAAACATTTCAATGTAGAAGACAGTCTCAGGAAATGTCACTAAATCTTTTTTTCTTTAATGAAGGTCAAAGGGCGGGAAGCCTTTGGAAGTAATATTATGAAGGAAGTTTCAGTTATATTCTATTTCATTTAAAAAGCATTTATATGATGCTTAATATATGCCTGGCGGTGTTCTAAGCATTTTTTCAAATATTAGCTCACTTAATCCTCCTCATAGCAACTCTGTGGGGCAGAGTCTATCATCTGTCCTGTTTTAGAGATGACAGAAGTGAAGTACAGACCCTCGGAAACATCCAGGGTCATGTACCTAGCGAGTGGGAAAGCTGATGTTAAACGTCACCGGTCTGGCTCCGAAGTCCAAGCTTAATGACTATGTAGCCTTCAGTTTTTTGCAGATTGTACATATTTTATATATCCAAAACTATGACCCCTTTCCCCCCAAAGAAGTTTTTAGCAAAATGTTTAGTAACATAATTGCATATGGTAGATGTCATCTTTTAGGACTCTTTCTTGTCATGACCAAGGACTCGCCTTCTTCCACTGTGTTCCTTGGCAGTTTAGCGAGGAGTACGCACCATCAGTGGGTAAGGAATTCTTTCTCGTCCCGTCTCCTTTGCTTGATAAGCATCCTTAAAATCCAATCCCATTGGCATTCCACTGGCTCCTGCTGATATGGACTAGTTACCTTTTTGCAGCTGATTTGGGGTATAATCTCTTTCTTCTTTATGAGACCCAACATGAATTCAGCAGGGCTGTGCTGAGGTTTAACCATAGTCATCAGCCTGGCATCCACGAGAAAGGAGGGGCCATGTCCTAAGGAGAGCCTTCTGTTGCCTTCCTGAAAGAGAGGTCTCATGTGGGGAGAGGACCTTAATAAGGAGGAATGAGACTCCTCTGGCTGAAAGAGTCAGAATTCTGGAGAGCCAGCATCTTGGGGGCATCCACTTAGACATCCCCATTCCAGGTCTCAGAGTCCCAGATGCTGTTCTCACCAGGGCGTTGGATTTTACATCACACCTTTGCCTTAGGCATTCTACTGTCTTTGAAGTTCAGTAAACCTATCAGATCTTTTTTTTTTAATTAAATTTTATTTAGTTACTTTTCAAGTACATTTTTTTTTATCTATTTCTCCCATCCCACCCCACTCCCCCCCCCGCCCAGTCTCCCCCTCCCCCCCCCCCAGTCCTCATTCCTGTGTCTTTCATACTTGTTCCTCAAAATCCCTCCCCCTTTTTCCCCTTAAATTCCCTTCCCTCTCCCCTCTGGTCGCTGCCCACTTGTTCTCTATTTCAGTGTCTTTGTTTTTATTCTGTTTGCTTGTTTGTTTTATTCTTTAGCTTCCTGTCAAAGGTGAGATCATATGGTATTTGTCCTTCAATGCCTGGCCTACTTCACTCAGCATAATGCTTTCCAGTTCCATCCATGTTGTTGCAAAAGGTAGTAGCTCCTATCAGATCTTGAGATGCTCCTTCACTGTGTTTCTCTCCCACTAAAGAAGATAAGCGTCCTTTTTGTAAACCACGCAATAGGTCCTCTGCCTATTGTTACACCTGGTTTTAACTCTGTTAGCATCCCTCAGTTTCTGGTGATCGATACAGGACATTGATTGAACTAATCATCTTTTGCCGTTGTTTGTAATTCAGTGAGTGAATTCCTTTGTTTTCAAAGAGGAAATCATCACACGGGCCTGAGTGTTCCCCTCCACCAGGGACATTCTCCTGAGTTATTTACACGATAAGGTATTTGTGCTTCCTGTTTTATCAGCGCTGCTATTATTACAAAACTTAATATAAATGTATAATTTTGCTTGCAAACCAGAAACAGTATTTCACTCCCAAGTATCACACTAAATTGGCTTAGATTCCAATAACTAATCCTAACTTTTTTTTCAGTCCAGAGAATTGAGTTAGATTTGGTTCTAGAAAGAGAATACAGATTACTTGCTAAAATAAAGAGTTCCCTCCCCCAGCTAGCCCAAAATCTTTAACAATTCCACTTTACCTGGAACCATTCAGTTTTGACATTAATTACAGTGTTTGTTCATTTTGTCTTAATAGTAAGTACTCTTACTTTGATAAATCATTAAAGTCCTCTTCCTGCTTCTTTCTTCTTTCTTTTCCACTTTTGAATCTGTGGTTCATTTCAGGTAAGTCTGAAATGTCAGACATGGGTATTTAAATTGTTCAAGTATCTTATGTGGTTAATTAGGGGAAATGCAAATAAGTTGTTAGTGTATTAAGTGCGTTCACTCATTTTTCCAAAACTGTACAGTGTAGTCACATACACACACTCATTTTTTGGTCATTTGTGTAAATAGAAAAGTACCAAGATTAATGTAAGAGACCTTTCATTTATCTACTTATTCAACAAATATTTACTGAATTTTTTATGTCAGCCATGGTTCTAAGTGCTACGGGGACAGACGGTGACGAGAGCTCTGTCCCTCATAGGGCTTACATTTTGCTGTGCAAGAGGCAATAAGCAAACGCAAAGTACATGTACGAAATGTTACATACTCATGAGTGCTAGGGAGGAAAATGAAGCTGAGAGTCAGGGGAAACAGAGTTATACTTTTAAAATAAGCTGCGTAGAGAAAGCCCCACTTTGAGGAATGAGCGGAGGCCTGAGGCTGAGGGAGGGGAGTGAGTGTCCAAGGGAAACCGCCTCAGGGATTTGAATGTAAAGCTCAGTATCAGCTTGTAGCTTTGCATCATACAAATAATGATGAATTCCACACCAGTGGAGATTCTTAATATAGAAGGAGAATTCTTGGGTGGTGGTTGACTTCACGGCTTTTAAAGCTTTAACACATCATTAAGAAATGCCCAAAGGGTGACTTCACCATGAA